TGCTTATAGCTGTGGAGAACCTGCATTGTGTCTGTAATTTGGCCCAGCATGTGGATGATCGAGCTATATTGCTTTCAGTTGCATGCACATTTGGAGCACATTGCTACATGCAGGGAACCTGCTCGAGGTGGCTAACAAAGTACAAACATAATAAATGCATGAAATGCCATAAAATTTGTCTACACTACCTGTCACCAGGTTGCCAGGCAGTGACACTGGCAGGAAGGTTTTGGCTAGGGCTGCCAACCATCAGGTGATAGCTGGAGATCTCCTCGGGTTATAACTGATCTCCAGGAGACAGAAATCAGTCTCTTTGGGCAAAATGGCTGCTTTGGAAGGTGGGCTCTAGGCACTGAAGTCCCAGCATGGTGTACTGGTTAAGAGTGGATGACTCTAATCTGGAGAACCGAGTTTGATTCCCTACTCCTCGACATGGGCCAGTCACAGTTCTCTCAGAACTCTCTCACCCTCACCTGCCTCACAAGATGCCTGTGGGGAAAGGAAGGGAAGGTAATTGTAAGCCACTTTGAGACTCCTTATGGCAGAGAAAAGTAGGATATAAAAACCAACTCCTCGTCGTTGTCTTCTTCTTATTATTATTATTTGTGCTATTTCGATCCCGCCATTTTCACCGAAGTGAGCTCAGGGCAGTTCACAACATAAAATCATATAGTAAGATACATCATATAACATATTATCTCTAAAAGTCGTCTCCTCCTCCATCATCATCTCCTTCTCTCCTCCCCAAACCCTGTCATCCACAGGCTCCAACCCCCAAATCTCCAGGTATTTCCCAACCCAGAGTTATCAGACACAGCTGTGGTAGGGGGCAGTGCCCTTGCATTTTTTTTTTTAAAGTAAGGCCTGTCTACTTAGAGGAATTTCTGACCATAGAGTTCTTAGCAAGTCCTAGAACTACCCAGAAGTAATCTTACAATAGAGTTTCTGGTGATTCCTAGAGCTACCCTTCTTACTTCCAAGTGGCTCTAGGGATTGCCAGGAACTCTATGGTCAGAACTTCCCCTAAGCAGATAAAGCTTATTTTTCTTTTTTAATTTTTCTCCCTAGGATGATCCTCCCTTTGGCCCCAGTTTCCACCTGTCAATCAGGTGAGCATTGGAGGGCAAGGGCCACAATTACTTGGAGGTTTCCCATCACAAGCAGACAAATAAGATAATCACTGCAGACAACAGCAGCTTTCACATTCATGTTGACTATTAGGGCTTCTTGTGGACCCTGCAGCATTAAACGACATTGCATATTTATATGAAATGTTTAGATCTCACCTCCCAACATGGTTTCCATATAAAATAAAAGCAATCAAATAAAAGCATAAAGGTCAGACTATAAAACAGAAGAACAAGTAATACTAATTTCATAATGGTCACCAATAAAAGCAACTAAAATTTCCTTATGCACCTTAAACCATGAATAACAGAAAGAAAAGCCTATCAAGGTGGAGAAATAAATAGCAAAAGAACAAAACACCAAATACTCAGAGGAATTAGTTCAGTACAAAAGAGGGAAGTTTTCGCCTGGCATCTGAAACTCAGTAGGGTTACCAATTCCAGCTTGGGAAATTCCTGGAAATTTGAGAGCAGTCCTGGGGGACGATGGAGTTTAGGGAGTGAGCTCAGCAGTGACGTGAAGCCACAGAGTCTGTCTCCAAAGCTGCTACTTTTTACAGGGGAACTGATCACTGCAGTCTGGAGACCATTTGTAATTCTAGGCAGATCCCAAGCCTCACCTTGAGACTGGCAACCCTGGGCAGCGGGCAAACCATTATACACAATATAAACCACTATTACAAAATCATCACAAGTGTCCAGTTCTCTTTCCTCACAATGAAACAAGCAGATGGTGGACCTCCATATCACTCAAAGCTTGGGAATGAGAAACCAACACGATCTTATTTCCATTCATGCGGACTAGAGTTGCTTCCACACAGCAACAGATGTCACATTAGTGCTGTGAATGCAAAGGCCCTAAGACTGTTAATGGAGCATCCACACACCAGGTTTCCCTGCATTTTTCCTGCCCTAGTTCTCTAACTTCATCATCAACTCCCCATGCCAATGGAAGGCTTTCATTTTTTAAATTGGCAATAGACGTACCACTATAGTGTTCTAACGCTCTCCAGTGGATGGAGGGCAATGACAGTCACAGGGGAATGGGGCAGGGAAAATGGCACTGATATGGGCACAGCTGAGAAAGACCTCCACAGTCCTGCCCACATGGCACCCACCATGGCTTTGCTGTGATGTTTCCCAAAACGTCAAAGAGATGCAAGTTTAGGACAGATCACAGTAAAGTTGGGGAAATGGCTGAACACCCATGAATGCACCATGAAGCTGCGTGGAAGCAGGAGAAGCACCTTCTTCTCATTCACAGACGTGCTGGACCCAAACCCAGCTGTGGAAGCAACCTTGGAGGAGCATTCTGTATCAGTCTTTGTACATCCAGATTAAGATGGTTGATTGCTACATGGGTTGAAGGGAATGTTTTCTGTCACATCTTTTCTCCCAAGAGCTCTGGGCAGCACCTGTTTCTCCTTACTGTGGGGTAGGTTATACTGATGGGCCCAAGGTGAGCCTCATTTATTTTCTTTCTTGGGGGTATTTTTTGTGCATGTTTGTATGTGTGTATGTACGTGAGTGTCTGGAAGTCATGACTGGCTTCTGGCAACCCCTAGTGGGGCTTGGATGTTCAGAGAAGTGGCTTACTATTGCCTACCTCTGTGTTCCAGTCCTGGTATTCCTTGGAGGTCGCCCATCCAAGTACTTCCCAGGGTCGGCTCTACTTAGCTTCCAAGATTTGATGAGATCGGGCTTGCCTGGGCTATTTAGGTCAGGGTGGTGAGCTTCATTTCTAAGTGGTGATTTGCCAGTCCTAGTTGGACCCTATGAACTCTGCAACACATTCCCAATTCTAAACACATTGCAGCTGCCCAAGAATACAATGACTGCTTCATATTCAGAAAGTGACTGAATTTCCATCTTCTGCCTCAATGCATCCTCCAAAGCAGCGAGAACGGCAGTTTCTCTGAGTCAGTTCCTGCTGCAGCAGCCCTATGTTTACTTGCGGCTTTTCATGGAGTGTTGCATAAAAACCTCAATTAAGCATACAGCCAACTGTGAGAAAATTAAGTTTGTGTGTGTCCGTGTGAAATATATAACCTTCCTCTTTCCATGCATCTGATGTAATGAATACGTGCTTTGGGGTGTATACCTATGAAATGAACGGGTGGAATTATCTGGGAACAAGTGTCTGACCAGCTAGCAAGCATTACAGTTATTCACCCTTGAGTCTTATAATATATATGTTGATTTTCGTTATCTTAAATACTGGATAAACTGGGCCACAATGGATAGACCTCAGTGTGCAGTATTCAGGGAAAAAAACATCGGCCTTTTCTGCACGCTTCTTTTAATCCATTAGGGTTGCCAGCCTCCAGGTGGGGCCTGGAGATCTCCCGCTTTTACAACTGATCCCCAGCTGACAGAGATCAGCTCCCCTGGAGAAAATGGCTGCTTTGGAGGGCAGACTCTATGGCATTGTACCATGCTGAGGCCCCTCCCCTCCCCAAACCCCTCCCTCTCCAGGATCCACCCCCAAAGTCTCCAGGTATTTCCCAACCCAGACCTGGCAACCCTATAATCCATGTTTACCATGGTGACCTCCAAGCAATTCTGCACTAAAATCAAAATCAGCCTTCTTTTTAATCCAGGGTTTTTTCCATTATGCACCAAAATTGAGTTCAACCTTCTTTTTATTCTTGGTCCCCCCCCTCCCCATTCTGCATTACATCACCTGCCTTCACTGGTCAGCCCGGTTTCAGCCTGCGGTTGCCCCAGGTTATTTGGATGCTGTTTTGCCATGGACTTAAATGGCCTCAACTCAAACACTGAGAAAATCTGGAATGGCAGGCAAATGTAGAAAGGACCATTGTACAAAAAAACCCAACAAAACATTATATGAGAAGGCTTCATTTGAGACAAAGTTCTGTCCTAGATCTATGTGAAAGAACAGAAAAGTTCTAATGGTCTTGAGCTACCATCATATATCCTCAGAATTCTGGATTTAGGGGTGGGGTTGAATTAGGGTTGCCAACCTCCAGGTGAGGCCTGAAGATGTCCTGGAATTGCAACTGATCCCCAGATTGCAGAGATCCATTCTGCTGGGGGAAATGGCTTCTTTGGAGGATGGACTCTATGGCATTACACCCCACTGAAATCCTCCCCTCCCCAACCACTGGCCTCCTCCAATCTCCAAGAATTTCCCAATTGGAATCTCTTTTTTTTTTAGAAATTAACTTATTCCATTGCAGCCACGTAGCCTGGGTGAGTCATGTAAATCATGTGAGATCAAGTCACCCAGCAGTTATTATTTCCTATTTTCAATTTTCAATCCATACATTGATGTGATTCAGTCAAATGTAATAAAAATAAAAATAAATGGTAAACGTCCTGTTGAATACCCTGGGTAGGGAAGGAATTTGATATACCTCATATTGCTTTGCTTTTAGAGACAGGGGTCATTCCCAATATTATTTTTAGTTTGGAAATAATTTGCCCCCTTTTTTGTGAAATGCCATCAAAATATCCCTGGAAGTAGAGTGTTTGATATTATAGGAGTAGTGTTACTTCCTCATCAGAACCCATCTGAACTCTAACATACAAACCACATATTGGTACCCACCCATTTTATTAGTGATTGCCTAAATGGGGATTTTTGAACTTGGCACCCTGTGTTGTGTGTCACAGATTTTTTTTTAAATAAGCATTTTTCTGTGTCAGTTACAGAGGATGTTATCATGTTGTGACTCATAATTCTGTTGATTTTGTACAACAAACATGAAGTGTATATATAGGGACACTTTGAGCACATGGACAGATTCACTGGCAGAGGCTAGCGAGATTTGTGACTCCCAAGGTTTGTGTAGAGAACTGAAGGCAAAGATGAAGAGCTTCCTGCTCAGAATCGTGCTCTGTGGAGCTCTTTCCTGTGCTTTGCCGATCATCCTGAAAACTGACCAAATCACAGAAGGGGACGTTCAGCTTGCTGAGGTAAAGATTAAAAATCGCTGAAGCATTAAGCAGAGGAAAACCTATGACTAAGAACAGAGAGCCAGTGTGATGTTGTGTATACATGAGGACCAGGGGAATTTGTGTTGAGTCTAGTACAACCAAGACTGGTTGGCCTTGCATAAGTCACTGTCTGTTCACTTTGGGTTTCTGTATTTTTAAAATGTGTAGAATAATGGTGGGCCTTTGTTGTGGAGTTGTACTGAGGAGAAAGACTGAAACCCATTTTCGAATGTGGAAACTGCCCGTAAACTAATGTATCTTTTCTTCCCATCAGAAATATCTCCATAGCTACTACCCTGAACCAGAGGGGACCCCTGTCTTAAGAAGCAGAGGTGATAATAAGAATATGACTGGCAAAATCCGACAAATGCAGGAATTCTTTGGGCTGAGAGTGACAGGCCAGCTGGATTCACGCACCTTGGATGAAATGAAGAAGCCTCGATGTGGAGTTCCTGATATAGGAGAGTTTCGCACCGCTCGTGCACTTAACCGATGGCCAAAGAAAGACCTGACATACAGGTAAGACTTCAACTGCTTTCTTTAATTTGAGATGCCACCTGAAGATAGTTATTATCACAGCACTGAGCACCTCCTTTGAGGTGCTAGTTAGCTATTTATTATGGCTGTGCCAAAGCAGTACAAAATATATATTAGCAGAAATGTTTACAGACTTCGAGGAACAGAATCTCATTAAATTAAGTAGAAGAAAAAAGACAATGGGGGCTGCACACAGGGGATCCATAGTTCACTGTCCAGTGTCTGGAGGCAAAAAAACCGCACTCTCTGGTTTTTCTCCAGCTAACTAAAGGCCATAAGGGGAAGTCCAACGGCTGGGTGTCTCATTTTTCTCACTGAGTGTACAGCGTGGGATGGATTAGGCTGCTGGCTGACATAATAAGCCTTCTACATTTCAATCAAAGGGAAGGGTGGCTAAAGAGACTACAGTTCACAGAGGGTGATAAATCAAGGGCTGCTGGAATTCTTGACTCTGGCAGCATCAGTGCAGTGTGCTGGTAAGCGGTGGACTGTATGAACTATCATTTCAAGCCTGTTTCAGTGAGTATCCTGAGGCTCGCTTGTGAGGTCTGTTATGGTGGACAAGGTCTGAAAAGCTTGTTCATCTATGATCAAGCTCAGGGGTCATTTCCTTCAGGAGAGCACAGGAGCGGAGCTCCGGCAGTAAAGAGCCCAGGGGGTGGGCACATGCAACAAGCCCCACCCCCTGCTCTCAGCAGCCCTCAGTCAAAGCAAGAAGCAGTCAGGTAAGTTGCAGAGGCCCCCTCCCTGGCCCCCTGGTCCAAAACAGTCCAGTGGCACCTTTAAGACCAAGTTTTATTCAGGTACAAGTTCTCCCTCCTCTGCGAGGACAGATCTGCACGTTCCCCCCCCCCCCAAAAGCTAGCAATCCAAAACAGTCCAGTGGAGCCTGAGTGGTGGGTGTTGCCTTCTGACACACTTCTGGTGATGTCAGGGGGTGTGGCATATGCAAATAAGTTATGCTAATGAGTTATGCTAATGAGCTCCTGCACCTCTTTTTCTACAAAATGACCCCTGATCAAGCTTCTTCTCTGATCAGAATCATGGTGAAGTAGGCGTTCTGTGTGTTTTAGGCTTCAGTTTCCATCTGCGCTTGTACTTTAGGATCTGGATAACACACAATATGAAAAAGGAGAGTAAGCACCCTGAATAAATGCAGAGTGCCCTCCATCTTTTAAATTTATTTTTTTGTAATAATGGCTAGTGTTTGCTGGGCCCTTAAAGCATATGAACTAAAATAATGTAAGCAAGAGAGTACCCCTGAAGGCAGGGAAAACCAGGCATTCTCTGAAACCTGTGAAAAGGCACCGTCTGATGCCTGACGTCACAGTTTTAAAAATATTGATTTTTGTTTCTGTTGCTTAAGTTTTCACAAAAAAGCATCTGAAAACAGTGGTCCCCCAAATCAATCATGAGAAGAACAATTGCACTTGTGAAGTTGGCTCGTCATACACAGTTTTAATTTTGCTTCCACATTGTCATGTTTGGAACACAAAATTTACTCCTGAACCCAAACAGGTTCCTAATATAGGAATCAATTTGTTGGCCAAAGATATCCTAGACATCATACATGTAGCTGCCTTATCCTGAGTAAGTTCACTTGTCTATCAAGGTCAATATTGTCTACTTTGGCCGCGGGCACACGGGCAGGAAAATGCGGGGGGGAAGCGTGGCTGTTTGCCCCGGGGCAAAATAATGCGCGGTTGCACCAGCAGATGTACCGTGGAGATCCCGTGTAGGTCCCATGGTAGGGGGGAGGTGCCAAGCACACCACAATCCTCTGCAACGGCAAAGAAGCGGCACGGCAAATGGGTGTTTTTTTTTCCGGACACGAAAGTGTGTGCATGCCCCGTTGGGTGCTTGTGCGCATCCCATGAACAGTAAAAAAAAACCCCTTTATACGAGGGGGCATGGGCGGGTGCCGGAACTACCACCAGAAACGCGATCAGATGCCCACCCTTGCCCCGCGGTTACCGGAAACTAGTACCTCCGAGGTACTAGTTTTTAACCGCGCATCTTCGGCGGGAAGCCTCGGGTTCGCCACGGGAGCTCTATGCTTCCCAGATGTGGTGGTGAGATCGAGCCCGGAAAATCCGCCTATCTTCCGTCTCTGTAGTGTGGCTAATGCTCCATGTGACCGGGGCCTTTGATTGGCAACAGTTCCCCAGGACCTCAAGTAGAAGTCTTTCCCATCACCTACTACCAGGTTCTTCAAATTGGGGATGCCATGAATAGAAAGTGGAACTTTCTGCAGGTGAAGCAGGTGCTCTACCCTGATCCATGACCATCTCCAAAGAAAAAAGTAATGCCAAAATCTAACCCCAAATGTTTTCTGCTGTACCTCCAAGTTGCTTACGGCAGAATTTCTCACAATTGTGTGAGGTCACTAAGAAATAGTGACGTGGCCAAAGTCACCTAGCAAGCTTCACAATTGAGCAGAGTTGTGAATCCAGATCTTCCTCAATGAAGCCCAGGACTTTGTCCAGTACAACACATTGTCTAAAAGATTCCTTGCAGGTGCTAGGTTGGGAAAGGAAACGTGTTCCAGATCTGTCTGAAGCTATGGTACTTTTTGTACTCCAGGCATTCACTTCTTTTACTGCTATGTATTTTAAAGCATCCAGAACTACACGCCAGATATGGATCCTGCTGACATAGAAGATGCTATTGAGAGAGCTTGGAAAGTGTGGAGTGATGTGACCCCCTTGACGTTCACGCAAACGTCCGCAGACTCTGCAGATATATTGATCTCTTTTGTTGCAAGATGTAAGTCAATCACTTGAAAGCAATCACAGGTTTTCTGTTCAAGGGGGTTAATAGCTATATATAATTTTTGTCTGGCATTTTTAAGACCATAGAAGCAATCCCTACGATCGTGGCTTTGATGGATATGGAGGAGAACTGGCTCATGCTTTCTTCCCTGCATATGGTGGAGATGCCCATTTTGATGAGGATGAAAACTGGTCAAAGGATTTGAAAGGTATTGTGATGGCTTTTGTTTTCATGCATGGAGCAGGACATATGTCTGTAATAGCTATTAGGTCTCCTTCAAAATATTATTTTTATTTTTATTAATTTGTATGTCACTTTTGTCTACACTAGGAGACCCAAAGAAAGGTGTGACATTGTCATCCCTTCCTCTATTTTATCCTCATTAAAAATTTATAAGATAGGCTAGGCAGAGAGAGAGAAAATAAGTCCCCCAGAAAGCTTCCAGGGCACAGTGGGGACTCCAACCTGGGTCTCCCAGATTATCAAACAGAATCTGGCACTCTAATCACTTCACCACACTGTGGCTGCGATCAGACACACCAGTAGATCCGATATAGGCACGAATGCCGGGGGAATTCTGGTAGTAAATGGGTTCCGATGGGCCACAGACGGGCTTTCCCCTGTCTGATCATGCAAGCACACATGCATGCCATCGAGATGGTCTGATCAGGCCATCCCGGCTCCGTGCGTTGTTCCTCCCCCCCTTCGCAGTATGTGCATCGTGGCATACTCCATAGGGGGCCCTCAGTGTGGAGGTGCAATTCCTCATTTATGCACAAGGAAAATGAATAGCAAAAAACCCACGACTCACCCACAGTCGCGTCTGATCACACAGTGACGGGCTGCACCCACAGCTACAAAAGGAGATGTGATCTCGCAACTGCATGTCAAATTCCTCTGGAGAGAATAGCCTCACTTCCCCTCTCCTTCAACTGGCACGTGTGACCGCAACCTCTTATGATATAAGCACCACTCCTGCATCAGGGTGGGACAAATATTTAGGTATTATGGGGATTTATTCTGTATGTTGGATTAATACTACTTTACACAGAGAGTGATTAAAATGTGGAATTCACTGCCAGAGGAAGTAGTGATGGCTACAGGAATAAACAGCTTTAAAAGGGGAATAGATAACTTCATGGAGGATAATGGCTGCTAGCCATGGCAACTGAGGGGAACCTCCACATACAGAGCCAATAATCCTCTGAATCCCAGAGCCAGGAAGCAACATCTGGGGAAGGCCTCAGTTTTTACGTCCTGTTGTTGGCCATTCAGGGGAACTGATTGATCACTGTGTGAGACAGGATACTGGACTAGATGGACTATTGGTCTGATCCAGAAGGGCTCTTCTTATGTTCTTATAATGCCAAATAACAAGGATATGCACTACCCTGTTTCCCCGAAAATAAGACCTACCCCAAAAATAAGCCCTAGCAGGATTTCTATGCATTTGTGGTATAAGCCCTAGTGTGTCTTCTTGAGAAAAAATAAATATAAGACAGTGTCTTATTTTCGGGGAAACACGGTATGTGTTAAACATAAAATATAATTGAGCTGTTATGGCCAGAGTATTGCCTCCCATCTCCAATAACCATCTGCACTGGTTGTCCCAAGCAGGCGCACATAGAGGTTTTAGAAGAAGCTATTAAGTAAGGTTACCAACCACAAGATGGGTCTTGGAGTTCTCCTGCAATTACAACCAACCTCCAGAGATCCATCAGTGGCTATTAGTCCCATGGTATAGATAGGAACTCTCAGTCTGGGGCAAGTGATGCTCTGTATTCTTGGTGCTGGGGGGGGGGTAGCAGTGGGAGGGCTTCTAGTGTCCTGGTCCCACTGGTGGACCCCTTGATGGCACCTGGTATTTTTGGTCACTGTGTGACAGAGTGTTGGACTGGATGGGCCATTGGCGTGATCCAGCACTGGCTTCTCTTATGTCCTTATGTTCTTATGACTTCAGAGATCATTCCCCTGGAAGAACTGTCAGCTTTGGAGGGTGGACTCTATGGCATCACATACTTGCTTAGCTCCATCCCCTCCACAAACTTTGCCCTCCCCAGGTACCATCCCTAAATCTCCAGAAGGTTCCCAACCCAAAGTTAGCAACTCTACCATCAATTGTGGGGACAGCTGATGAGCCTGAGATTTTAACCTGCCACTTTGGGAAACCTAAGTCATAGGGGCAAAACCTGTGACCTGTCCACCCTATTCAGAGACTCTATCATCTAAGTTTGTTAGAGGAGGATAAGACACTATGACAGCCATGCATTTTGCTGTGCCTTATAGGCTGTGATAGTCCACCTAACCATCTGTCTCAGATATTTATGCTTGCCCCTGCTTTAGGCATAAGGTAATATTTGAAATGGGTGAATGTGTGTATAGATCACACATCACTAGATAAAATCAGGAAATCTTAATTCCGGGTTCATAGCACTGCAAAGTGGAAATGTTCATGCATTCCACAAAAAGTATTAAAAGGATGGAAATTTTCTATACTGAACACAGAATTTTTCACTGTCAAGTCAAGTCACTAGTGTTGACATTCATCCTGTTTCATTTTAGGAACAAATCTTTTTCTGGTTGCTGCTCATGAGTTTGGTCACACCCTGGGTCTTGGACATTCTGACACTTGGGGGTCTCTGATGTACCCAATATATGTGCCTTCACACCCCCAAAACTTCAGGCTTCATGAGGAGGACATTTATCGCATCCAGAGTCTTTATGGTAAGAACAAAGAAATCTCTCCCTTATAATAAAAGAGTTTTGGGTGCCAAAGTTCTAAAATGCACTCCTTTAGTGTTAGGCCGAAAAAACTGCCACTCGGAAGACACTGGCTGGGTTCATTGGCTGCTTTGTGCAGTCCCGGCCAGCGTTCCAAGGTCATTTACATATGGAAGCTGATTGGACTACACTCCATTCCACACCTGAAACTCACCCCCCCCCCGCAAGGCAGTTGGAATTTTCAGTTGGGAGAGGAGAATGATGTCAGCTGCTCCCTAGGCAGAGGCTGTGTGTGGGGGGGGGGGGGGTTTGTAAAACTTAAGACAGACAGGCAGATAGGGTTGCCAACTCCAGGTTGGAAACTTCAAGGATATTTTAGGGATGAAGCCTGCTGAGGGTGGGATTTGAGGAGGAGGAGGAAGAGGGGGACCTCAGACAGATACAATGCCATGCTGCCCACACTCCAGACAAGCTGTTGCCAGTCTCCAGGTGACAGCTGGAGAGATCTTAAAGCTTTGGTGCTACTTCAAAGTTCCCCAGGAGCCCAAAACAGAGAAGTG